CATAATTAATATGTATCAATATTTAATATTTTATTAATATTTATTTATAACTGATAGTAATAAATAATAATTAATATCAATGAGAATTATAATTGTAAAAAATGACAATAAACTATCAAAACATTATTTTAACTAGCATTTCAATAAGCTAGCTTATGTGTATCCAAACATGTCATCAGAAAGTAAGCTAACTTATTTTTGTCAAACAATACCTTAGAGCATTTTCAATAGATTCTTCAAAATTTCTTTAAAGTGAAGAATCAAAAGTCAAAAAATATTACATTCATCTCAACAAATTTCTCATTTTAGAGAATCCAAAATTAATTATAATATTAAAATATTTTATTCATCTAAAATATTATTTCTCTCCCTAAAAATTTATTTTCAAAGTTTATGAGTGGTGCTCTCACTTAATAATCATTTTGGGGTGATCTCCATATTTGGAGAAAACCCCTTATCTCTCATATTTTCTCCATTTTGGAGATAGTTTTTGGGAAGCTATTAGAGTCAAATATAGGCTTAAAATCTCCATTTTCTCCATTTTTCCCATTTTAGAGAAGTTGTTAAATATGCTCTTATATAAGAAAGACGGTTTGAATCAACCGTTGCTAAATAGCCGGGAAGGGTTCAAAATGCATTGTATATTCCAATATTTATTTATTGATACTTTTTTATAATTTGTTGTGTAATTTACAAATCTAAAAGTCGACTGAAAGGTCTTTTTTTACCATTGATTAATATGTTCTTATCATTATCACTATACGAAAGTGCTGTCCTTCTTTGACATTTTTATGAGAAGAGAGAAATACTGCTCACTTGACAAAATGACTAAAATGTCCTTGACATCAATCGACATGCATGCTTTGATAGATTTCTATCATATGGTATTTATGATGATCAAATCAAGCACTTGTATGGCAGAAAAGTAACTCAACAGTCCATATGGTTTTTGTAATTCGCTTGTTTTATATATGTCTGTATGTATAGTATTAATAGTTTGTCATCATCATCATACTATGAAAGTTGCGTATATTTGTATTTTCTTATTTTTTTTAAATTACAAATATAACTAGATATATGATTTTACAGGAAAAATATAATTATCCAATGACAAAAAATTGCAATTTTGAAAAAATTAATACAATAAATAAGTGATAAAGTCATCAACTATTTTTAATACAAATAATTTAAGGAAATAAGTCACAATAATTGACAAAAAGTCAATATTAAAAAAATCAGGTAATAAATTAAAAATGAGAAATATAAAACTAAGCCACACATTTATTTCCTCCACTCATAATCATTCACACATTCAAGTTTGACCCATCATTCATGAAATTTTGATTTAAATTTCCAATTTAATTAGTGATATTGCTATATATATGTATATATATATATATATATATCTGTTATAATCAGATCAAATTATATATTAAAAATGTAAAAAATAATATTAATATTCATATATGTGAGAAGTAAGTTAGTATCTAGGAATTTATTTCTATATATATATATATATATATATATACATACATACATATATATGAGTGCATTTAGCGTACCCTTTAGTAGGGGTGTTGAATAATTTGAGAGTGAACTGTTTCTAGAACGGGTGAGCTAAATTCATTTTTATATACTGTTAAATGCATTCTACCTAGTACTTTTCTATCCACAATCATCAATATGAAAACTCACTTTTTTCTTACATTCACATGATTTACATTAAAAGAGGGTACGAACTCCTTTTGTAAAAACAAGAAAATGTCAAATTAATCACACACACATACATACATACATACATACATACATACATACATACATACATACATACATACATACATACATACATACATACATACATACATANCACACATACATACATACATACATACATACATACATACATACATACATACATACATACATACATACATACATACATACATACATACATACATATATATACAATACTTATAAAATATGAGTAAATTTAAACCAACAATTAACAAAGCAATAGAGCCCATTAAATATAAAATCACCCTAAGGGTGAAGAAAGTATTGCGTTTTACAAACCAAATATATAAGAAGATAAATAACAAGCTACTAATTTAAACTACACTAAATTTAGATTATGGACAGATGTCACCATCCTCTTCAAAAGAATTATGTCCAAGAACAACGCCAAACTGGCCAATAGCTAATGACTCCAGAACCGTCTCTACTGGCATCCAAACACTCCGCTCATGACTTTGTAGCCCCACTACTAAAAGAACCTGATATACATGTTAATTTAAGAAGAATTGTTAGGCTAAATGCTAGTGAGATCAAACAGTTATAAATGATGTAAATATGAGGCCAATGACTAGTATCAGCTCCAAGAGAGTCTATACCAAGTTGTCCCCGATGACCCAGTGCCTATTTCTAGTTACAAAAGGGAAGACCGTCTCGTTTAAATAAAACGACTCCTATTCATTTGCATTTAGTTTAAAACAGGCCATAACTCAAAAACGACCAATTATAATTACATATATAGTTTTCATCAATGAAGTGTCCTCGTAAAATCGTTTTGATGCAAGGCTTACCATATAGGTTAAAGTTCCCTTAACCTCTAATAAAAACCATGTCTCTTTCCAATCAAATATTACATTTGTCGTTTTACTCAAGAGTTCATAAATTCAAGAATAACTTTGTTTCACAAACCCGTTTTCTAAATTTACCGATTTCCATGAAATACCTCCCAATATGAAGAAATCAAGTAAAATCATTAGTCATGGAGTTTCAAGTCTCAGACAGTATTTATATACTCAAATCACTAGGTTATAACACATAGTTTGAAGATCCGTTATTTATTAGCAAAAATGGTAAAAACCCCAGATCTCCCAAAAACTAAAAAATGGTCAAAACCATAGATATGTAAAATACATCAAAAGAAACGTTTTAGGAGACTAAAATGACGTATTTTGATATGTATAAAGTTAGAGAAAAGTTAGGATGAACTCACAAGTTAGGTTTTGAAGAAAACTTGAAAACTAACAAAATAAAGAAGAGGTTGAGTGGATCTTGAATCCTAGCTTGGAAGTGACTTTAATGCTCCTTGAAGGAACCAATATCGGATCTAGGGTTTCTTTGTGCTTAAATGAAGCGAGAGAGGAGAAGTACAGAGAAAATGAGGAGAAATCCAAGGAAAATCGACTTAATTACCTGTAGGTGACAAATGTGACATTGAAGTGGGTTTAGTCGCATCAAAGCCACCCGCTCGATTTCTAACATGGCACAAACAGTGCCTAAAACGACTTTAGTGCGGGTTTAACCGCATCAACGTTGTCCGCATTCTTCAAAGGGGACACAAAACAGTGCTTAACGCTGCTCTGCTACGGTTTTAATCGCATGACACCCGCTTTTCACACGTTTTCTCATCCCAAAACCTATTTTATTTAATTTTAAACACCATCAAACATCCCACACCTAAGTCGCTCAAGGGAATTTAAATCTAATACAACGAGAAGGGAAATACAGGTATATTCTAACCTTATCAAGATAACTGAATTTTGGGTATTACAATATATACAGACACACACACACATTCATATAGGGTTAGGTATTAATGAGAATGAAAGTTACGATAAGAAGGGTAAGGAGGGATCTCCACTATTGTATAAATCCTGATTGAAGATCAACCCTAATGAGATCCACTGAGATGCACCAAGTTAATTTTCGTGAGAAGGCGCAATTAATGGGATGAGGGTGATATTACAAGTGATCAAAAGTCCAAATCTCTTCTTATGTTTTTTACTTAACTCCTATTCTTACACAATCATTAGTCTATACAGATATTATATATTATCTTTATTATTTATATATTTATTAAAATGTATTTCTTATATTTACTATTATTATTCCTAAGAAACATAATCTAAATACAAACTCTCATGAAACTTTAAAGTATTTTCACTAATTATAATGTTAGATCTGAAATGATGCTAAAAATACAATGATTTCAAAAAGTGTAATTTTTTTGTATAGGTAGTACTTCAATTTTTTTTAAATAATATAATAATTTTCTATTAATACTTAATTATCTACTAATCATTATTATTATTTTTATTGAATTTAATATTCAGTTTAGTAACATACAAAAGGTTATCTTTTTTAATGAATAATTATTAGAAAAAATTAACCTTTTTAGGGAATTATTAAAAAGGGAGAGGAAAATATATAATTTTGTCATCATCATCCTTAGAAAAATATAACACTTTAAAGAAAATATTAAATAGGGGGAGGAAAACATATAATACTTTTATAATAATAATTAGGAAAATAACGTGTTTTAGTAATAATTTATTTATTGTTACAAACATAATGTTTTCTAATAATAATATATTTATAATTAAATAAAACATAAAAAAAAGAATTAATATAAAAAGATTAAAAAACAAAAAAAAGACACAAAAAACGATGTAATAATCCGTAAGAATAGAATGATACGATAACAGACAGAGATTCAAATGAGAAATATAACCAAATAAAAGAACAGGAAAACGATCAAATTAGGTGTAATATGATATGTGATTACACTAACGGTCAACATAACTACACAAGGGTATGCGAGCGACGTGACCCGCAACCTCATCACTCATGTCATGGCTTAAGTCGTGTGAATCAGATATGATTTCAGTGCAAAATCACATGTAATTTGATCATTTTCTTATATAAGTAATTTTAAATGATATTTACAATAAAGTATCATGAACAACTTAGATCATAAAATATTCTAATTCTCGTGAAATAAAAAAAATATACAAGTTCTATTTTTTTTTTGGACAAATTTATTACGATGTATTTCATGTTCGTTTAAGCTCACTGGCAACAATCACAGTACAATACTTATAAAAGAAAATACGATTGACTGAACTTGGAAATATGTTTACTGAATTTTTTTCCCTTTAAATTACGATTAACTTAAAAGTCATTATAATCCATAAACGACTTTTCCATCGTTCAACAAACATGACATATGTTTTCATCGATAAAAAATACATACAACGACATCCAACAGTGACTTAATCGGTAAATTAAGATATATTTATATGTGTTTAAATTAATCGAATTTATAAAAAAAAAATTAGAGATTTAGAAAAGGTCTTACTTTCGTTGACCTACCAAGTTGAATTGCTAACTTTTGAAGTCTACAATCCATTGTCCAATCACTACAAAATCACTTCTTTATTTTCTTTATATGTTTTTTTCTTGATTGATAAATCCGGTTGTTAAAGTTTTTAACAACAAAATCAACACGGGTCCAGCTGTGATTTCTCAGTTCATCAAGATGATCTTCTCCTATCGCGTTTTTTGGTTTTCTTGAAATCTCTATCTAAGTATACATACCAAAGACGCACTTTTCTGTTCGCATTTTCATGTGGAATTAGAAAAGGGGTTTCTTTGATCCTATGAGTTTATTATTTGGTTCTTGAATATTATAATCTTGGATCAGATTTCGAGACTGCCGGTCTCCTCTTGCTCTTGATCTACGATACATAGACAGTCCTACGTTTTTTGATTATTTGATTTGTGTGTTCGTAGCAGAAGAAAACATTACTTCATCGTATGAAATTGCTTCGATTGTGAGTTAGATGGCTCAATTACCTGAACCTGAACGGTCCCCCAGTGTTCAACAAAGGGGTTTTCGAGTTCAAGCTCCATTGGTGAGTCCCAAATCTCCTTTTGACTTCTTTCTTGCTTACAGCATCTGTGTTTCACTAGTGTTTAGATGATACCCCCAGATGAAATCTTGATGGAATGAGCATTTTTTTTCTAAAGGGGTTGTTGACAATGTAAGATAGGTTTTGGGTTTTCTTTCTTCACAGAATATGAGTAATTTGCAGAGATGTCCAGATGAAATTGAATAGAAGTTTCAAGAAATCTTGACATTACTTATAAGTTGTGATTGAGGGCTTCTGTTTGTTTAGCCCCAATTGTGGGGATTTTTGTTTTCATGCGAATTTTGGGATAAAGAAATTGTATGTTCTTTGTGTTTTTGGGAAGTCTTGAGCAAACTTATTTGAGTACTACCCTAGTCTTTGTTTTGTCTTGGTGTGAGCCACTCTATGATGTTATTTGTGAATAGAATCCATCAGCATTTTGTTTGATTAGAATTCAGATTCTCATGATGGCCCTTGTGTTTGAACCTTTGGGATTAAAAAAGCTGTGGCTTTTGTTGTTCTTGCTGGTGTTGCCTATGCTAATCTACTTGTTAAGCAACCAAACAGACTTTAGGTCTCTTTTTCTCATATATGGAGATACAATTACAGATCCCCTATATCTTTCTTGAATAGAATTGGGATGAACCCATAAAACCTGGAGGTAAACACTGCAAACACTGGTTTCTAAAGCTCGATTCTGGGAGATTTCTGATAAATCTTAGTGAGCTAGTGGTCTAAGATAGAACTATGCTGTTTGTTGCTGAATGTTTAAGAAGCTTACTACATCAAGAGAGTATTTTTTTGGTGTTCTTTGTCAATTTTGCCCAAGTAGTTTGGTGTGTTCTTTATACATAAGTCTTCAATTGTTGCACCCATGCTTGAACATCTTTTTGTTCTTTTTTTCTCGTGCTTCTTTCACCATATGCTAATCTTTATTCCTGCTACCTGTTTGCTCACACTTCTGAACAAGCCCCCTGTTTCACCAAAATAGCTGCTATATACTCGTTGGGGCAGAGGTTAGGTCCGCTTACATCTTATCCCTCCCACACCTACTTTCGAGTGGGGATTTACTGGGTCGATTTGCATATTAGGTTCTCTAGAATAAAATTAGTCCATGAAACAATAAGAATCTTTTTCTATTGTGCCGACATTTCTTATTCATGTGTTGAGATCGATAATCACACACACTATATACTGTATTAACGTGGTTCAACAATTGCGTGCATCCATAGTCATTGCTATGGGTTTCTTCTTTTTTCATGAAATAATTTGGCTACTTCTATAACAAGAACCCAAACCAGAAGGGCAAGACAAGTTTCCCATGAAGCTGTTTTTAACCCTTCGTTGGAAACCTGAAGTTGTGTGGTTTGCACCCCGAATCGGACTTCTCGTTTAACACCATGTTGTTAGAAAGAAATTCTTTCTTTTGTATGTATGTATAAGCTAGACTTTTTGCTTCCTCTGAACCCTCGATAATCTTATCTTGAATGAAGATTGCAGCATTTCTTGCAATATTATTGGTATGGGTATGTTTATTGATATTAACAGAAATTATATGGCGATTATTGGCATCCTAACATGGCAAAATGATTCAGGTCGAGTCTGTTTCGTGCTACTGTAGAGTTGATGCGGGTTTGAAAACAGTAGCCGGAGCCAGGAAATTTGTCCCTGGATCGAAACTTTGCATCCAGCCGGATATCAATCCACGTGCACACAAGTCCAAGAATGGGCGCAGGGAAAGGACGAGGATTCAGCCGCCTCTCCTTTCTGGCCTCCCCGATGACTTAGCCATTGCGTGTTTAATCCGGGTCCCACGTGCCGAACATAACAAGCTTCGATTAGTTTGCAAACGATGGTTCAGGCTTCTGTCAGGTAACTACTTCTATTCCCTTAGAAAGAGTCTTGGAATGGCTGAAGAATGGGTTTATGTCTTTAAACGAGACCGTGATGGACGGATTTCTTGGCATGCTTTCGACCCCACCTACCAACTATGGCAGCCGCTTCCACCGGTCCCTGTCGAGTACGGTTACGCCCTCGGGTTTGGCTGCGCTGTTTTAAGTGGTTGTCATCTTTATCTGTTTGGAGGTAAAGACCCTCTTAAGGGTTCTATGCGGCGCGTTATTTTCTACAGTGCTAGGACAAATAAATGGCACCGAGCTCCAGATATGCTTCGGAAGAGGCATTTCTTTGGAGCTTGTGTGATTAACAACTGTCTTTATGTGGCGGGTGGTGAATGCGAGGGGATCCACCGGACCCTTCGGTCAGCGGAAGTTTATGATCCGAATAAACACCGATGGAACTTCATATCGGATATGAGCACGGCAATGGTACCATTTATAGGGGTGGTTCATAACGGAAAGTGGTACTTGAAAGGACTAGGAGCGCACCGGGAGGTGTTGAGTGAAGCATATAGCCCGGAATCTAACACGTGGGGGTCCATCACGAACGGGATGATTGGTGGTTGGCGGAACCCAAGCATCTCAATGAACGGACAGCTTTATGCTTTGGATTGCCGGGATGGATGCAAGATTAGGGTTTATGAAGAAGGGACAGGTTCTTGGAAAAGATTCATGGACAGTAAGATGCATCTAGGGAACTCACGTGGATTGGAGGCTGCAGCGCTTGTTTGTTTGAACGGGAAGCTGTGCATCATTCGGAATAACATGAGTATGAGCGTGGTGGATGTGTCGAGCCCGAATAAAGAGGTGGAGAGTAATCCGGAGGTTTGGGAGAACATCGGTGGGAAAGGTCAGATAAAGACATTGTTCACGAATTTATGGTCGAGTTTATCGGGCCGAAATGGTGTGAAGAGCCACATTGTGCACTGTCAAGTGCTTCAAGCATGATGAAAAGATATGGGGTAGTGATTGAAGGAATGAAGAAGAGAGAATTCAGAGGTGAGGTAGGTCTTAGAAGCAGAAATCAATGTTGCTACTCAATTGATTGATTATGTCATGTGTATAATTGAAGCCTGTGTGTTTTTGGGTCATGAGTTGTTTATGTAAATCTAAAACACCAAGCAAACAACGAATAAAACTTCACTTAGGTTTTATTTTAATAGAAGCTTGTAATCGTAATCAAAGCCTTTTTCAAACAATGTTCAATTCACTTGTTATTTGCAAATCGAAATCATCTATGATGGCCCAAAATGTATTGCTAAAATAAAATGCACAAGAGCCATGATTACGAAACAAGGCCCGGTTAGGCGTATTGGATCCCCATAAATACCTTAATTTCTTAAAAAGATAACTCCTCTAAAGTTTGAACCCTGTTCGGCAATGACCCATCGTACACCGATTCTAAGTTTGGATGTACATCATTTGCAATTACAACACTTGCCATTCATAATAGAAGAGAAGATTGCATGGTGGAAGGCTCATCCAAATATCCAACTACTAATATTATACACTTCCTACTTCACAACCATTATACTTATACAGAGGCTCAACCATAACAAGTGGCTTCTGAGCTTCGAATCACAGGGATACAGATATACCTCCTGCCCTGCACTCTCTTATTATCCACCTTTACATCTTCCTTCATTCTACTCTGTGATCAACATTTCAACCTCTTCAACACTCACTGGCAGCTGTATAAACAACCAGATTCAGGTTTTCAGCCATCAACATAATAGCAACAAATCTGTAATATACTATAGAATCAAGAACCTTAAACAAAACAGGTCAATATACAAGTATGTGATGATGATGTATTGACGGGAGTGCATGCAGATAATTTACCCATCAAGTTTGTTATTCAAATTATGAGTACATAGAACAAGGAACAAGATTACCAAGGTAAAAGGATGGATGATGATTTTCAGCCTATGAATGCTTATGGATTCTATATCAACCTCTCTACTCAACTTTAGTAGTTGTGGTTATGGAGAAGAAAGTATGATTTTAATCCAAATAAGAAAGGGCGAATAATACCAGGCAATCCACCAAAATAGGAGGAATATCAGCACCAGCAAACTTATCTAACAAATCAAGTTTTCAACCAATCCTCTTTCCCTAACCAGTCCAAAGTATCCCAAATGAGATGTATTATTGAACAACTGAGCTATGCAATTAATCGCCCCACTATACCGGTTTGGAGCCCTCAGCCAAATTGCAGAAGAGATTACTAGTACAACTAATAGCAGTGCTAGATGCCACATTCTAACAGCTATTTTTTGTATTTTTGTTTTTTAATTTAGTTGGTAGGGTATCCACTTATCTTCATTGTCTTTTAGTCTTCTTTCCTCTCTGTATTATTTTCCTTGTCTTCTGCTGCTGCCTGCTACTCTGCTTTTATGACTCTTGGACTTTGATCTATCTCCACTTCTCTTTCTCTTGTTTTATTTTCCTTCATCCTTCTCGAGATCACCAATTTTCTTTATCTTTCAAGTTTGTTTTCTTCTCTTGTTTGATCTTTCTCCACTTCTCTTTCTCTTGTTTGTATACTTCCAAACATCTTACTAGGTAGTGATGAAATATCCTATCTACAATAGTCTACTCGCTTAACACAAGCATTCGGATTGAGGTGTAAATGCTAGGCTGAAAAAGTCAGCAACCACCACTTTCGGCTTTCATAAGTACTCTCACCCCTCAATCATATCACTCTCCAGACTCCATTCACTCCTAACATCCCACATAGAACACATAATGTCGTTGGACAAAGGAAAGAGGTTTGGAAAAATAGAGCTCGAGAGTACACCGCTTAGCTAAAAATGGTGAACTAGCGACACCATTAATCCATGATGGCGATAGTGAAAGTAGAACGGTGCCAATACGTACCCAATTGGCTCCTGTGTTGTGTATTCCGTAGAACAGACAAGTACCCTATCTAAACAATGAGATTATTCAAGAAAAACTAAAAGAAATTTTAAAACAACATACCTATCCAGGTATCAATCAGGTTAGCTTTTGCCTTGAAATTTGTTATGTTCTTATAAGAAAGTATAGATTCTTATGTCTGGAGATAGATTTGATAACTGCATCGAATCTTACTATATATTAGTACATATGATGTTACTTGAGCCGATATATCCGAATCAACATTGCACTTGAAACATTTAACATGAAAAGTATTCGTCCTGTGGAACAAAGGATCTATGGAACTTAAACCTACAACATAACACATGTCATATTCATATATATACCTGAGAGATAGGGTTTGATGATTGACCACAAGAGGCAAGAGCGTTATCTGTACAAGCGTGAACCGTCTCAAACTGATCGATGTCAAGCTTCTTATTAATAAATCCAACAGTGAAGTAGATATTATCGGAACTTGGCAAGTCAACCCTAATTTCATCAACATCAAACCAGAATAAGAACCTCTTCACTTGGATCCCATCCAGATCGGTGATCGATCCAACGTTGAGCTTCCCGGTGATCTTAGTATCGTAGTAAACAAGGTAATCGAACTGGATGTAACAGGCTTTCTCGAGCTCCACAACGAAACTCCCATCATCGGGTGAGAGAGAGTAAGATTTGACGGAATCGGGCAAAAGACCGCTAGGGAGGCCGTACTTTTCGAGGATATCGTAGACGGAGGGTTGTGGATCGTCGGAGAGTGCAGTGGTTGAAGAGATTACTGTGAGTAGGGTGAGGAGGAGTAGGGTTTTTGCCGCCATTGTTGTGGAGTAGTGTAGTGTTAGCGAGGTATTTATGGGAAGGTGTACACACACAGAGTAGACTGCTTTTTCATGTTGCCAAGGCGGTTGTCCCATTTGACTACAATGCCACCCATTATCTTGATATCATCAACACGTTTTCTTTTATATAAATTTCTTTCTTATTTTTTTACATATTTTTATTCCAGGGGTCATATACCAAATGTTCATTGGTAAGTGTTTATCAGATTATTTACTTTATTAGATAAACACAGAAAGATCAATAGCAAGTACCGACAATCTTACCTAATAAATGAGAATGATGATTCTTATTTAATTAACATTTACCTTATAAATTATTATATACGAGATTGTTTTAATGTACTAAAACCTCACTTGATAAGATAAGTAGGGCTGGTCCTGGCCACGTGCACCCCGTGCGGCCGCACAGGGCATCAAAGCGTAAAGGGGCCTCAAGCTGTCATCTATTACTAGTTTTGGGTTTAATAATTTTGGAATTGGACAACTGAGTTTTAACTATAAAAACAGACCCAAAGCCTAGTAGTGATGAATATTGAATGCACATCGTGAACCGGTTAACGCCATCATTCTAACAACTCAATCTAATTTATATTGTTCTTCAAAGTTCGACTATTTCGATTTCCAATGCATGAAGTTCTCTTTCCAGTTGATTAACGGTCATGGAATTAGATTCACTGACTTCTATTGTTGATTGAACTTATCGAGTTGTTGTACGAGTCATATTATGATTTGTGAATCTTTAAATCTTCTTGCAAAAAAAAACTAAATTTATAACTGATTATTGTAAAGTTGGGTCAATTGGTCATGTGGGTTACCGACCTACTAGGCTAAGGCTAAGGGGTTTTTTTCATTTTGATAATAAGTCATCCTCTTGCATATTGAAATATCCGTGAATTGAAATTTTTAATGCACATGAGCACATCACTCTATCAACATAGTTGGAACACACTGCACAACATGAACAATGTATTATGATATTGTCTTAATTATTGGGCACTTGTTCTTTGCAATGCACAGTAACATAGATTATGAATTTCACAACTTATTATTGTTCTTTTGACTTTTGTTTACTTTGAGGTTTGGCAACGTTCGACTTGCATGTGTTAAACATATAGCCTTAAAAATGACATGGATAGGCTTTCTTCTCGTTAGATTTAGGGGCCGTATGATTGGTTTTTTATTAAGTTATATATGGATAAAGTTGTCTGTATGAACTAATCTTTTGTATAAGTTGGAAAAGTTTTTGTTTTGGATAGTTTTTTCGCAGATGTAAGGAGCGTTTTTTTTTTAGTTGGAAGGAAAAAAATTGGCTTTATATATAAAGCTCCCCCTAAAAGCTTATTGGATAAGTCACCTTCTATATTATTAAGCCACTACGAAACAGTCATGCATAGTTGAGCGAATAAACTGTTAGTTCCATTAAGCTTATTAAGCTGCTAACAGATAGACCCTTAGCCTTTAGTCGTTAAAACAAGAGAAAGAGAAGTGGAGAAAGATCAAACAAGAGAAGAAAACAAACTTGGATGTAATTTACTATTTTAGTTAAAATTAATTATCGTTTTCCTTGTCTTTTAAGTCCCATATATTGAAATAGAGTTTCTATTTTGCTAATTTCAATTTGGAAAAGGGAAAACTGTAAAAGAAGGAAGCACAATCTTAATCTAGGATTTATCATTTTTTATTGTTCTATATTTTATATTCGGGGTTTTGGTTTTTTTGTCCCCACATTGTTTTTTTTTTTTTTAATAATTAATATAAAAAAACATGTGGACGAGACACTTGGCTTTAATAAGTTTTAAACTCTTTAAAAAATTGCATATTACGTTGTTTCGTTGACTTAAATAAATAGCTTAAGGGCATTTTTTATTATTTTTGCACAGGACATCAAAAATTATAAGACCAGCCCTAAAGATAAGGAATGTTACTGGTTTTGTTTTTTATTATTAAGGTAGGAAAATTTATTCCATCGTGTATTATTAAAAGTAAAATGATTATTTACATCATTAAAGAAATATAATAATCAAATATATAATCAACGAAGATATAAATAAACAATTTTATTAAATTTCTGATTATCATACTGATACAAAATAAACATTTAAATTAATCATTAATTTATTTGTCGGCAAATTGTAGTTACATCACTTCAACCCAAATAGTCAATAAGAACTTTACGAGATACAAATTGTTATCATCGTAAAGTCAATCGTTACAGAATCACGTTCATATTCCACAACCGTATGTTTGCATCATTTTTCCAATTATCTTTTAAACAACATACAAGATAAAATACCTGTAACGTTCTCTCTACATTTTCGTAATAATCTGTTGTTCTAAGTAAATAAGTGATTTTTTTTGTGATTGAAGTAATAAAATAAACTTAGGTGCCGTTTACCAAATGCTTACTCGGGTAAGCGCTTACCAAGTCACTTTACTTTACCGGATGAATATGACAAATACCAAGAATCTTACCCGATAAGAGCGAAAACAAGAATCTCGAGTTTTATCCGGTAAGTGAGGACAATGACGCTTATCATGGTTAGCGCTTACCGGGATAAATTGTTGCATACGATGCATTTTAGTGAATAAAATCTTATCTGGTAAGTAAGCAATAATGTTAAATTTTATCGATAAATACTTACCGGGTATATATTTAGGTAAACGACCCCTTAGACAAATATATCTGAAATAATCACATATTCCGTCGAATCTACTCTACTTTCCCTTTCAAGACGAGCGACCTAACACATCAAGATGACAAAAAAAAAACACATGAAGCTAATAGGAAGACAAAAACATGGCATGTGCATATATTTTGCGAACCAACAATTTATAAAAATACATTAAATATATCATTTACAGCAATTTTCTATTTTTAAACATTTTCATAAAATATTAATATTCATAATTTGCAATTCTCCAAAAATAATATTAAAAATTTGATTTAATATGTACAAAATTAATATA